TCAATATTTTAATATACCATATTTATAAATTTCATTTTTATTTTCTGCATTAATATTTACTAATATAAAATATTTAGGTATTTTTTTGTGACTCATTGCTGCAGTGCAGATAAAATTAAATTAAACAATTCCCTTTTTCCCAGTGTACTATTTAACTTCAATGTATTGCATTTTTATTGTTAATTATACTTAATCAGAGGAAACCTTTCACGCGATCATTAGTTATGAAAACATTTCGATTACCTTTTATGTTTTCATTGAAACTTGTTGCATTTTTCAATCTGATGCAATTGAATTTGAGATTACGTTAGCATATTTTTTGCTGAGGTTTTCACTTAAGTTTATTACACAATAACACGGTTGAACTAGATTTTAATTTAATCAAAAATAATTGCATAAAAATTTGTTGATTTATTGTTAAAATCAAAAAAGCAAAGATATTACAATTTTAATAATTTTCTCAAACAATTATTGAAATTCTTTTGGAATTACTTAAAAGTTCGAATTACAAATTCAATCTTTGATCTAACAATTATTAGTATTATTTAAATATTTTAAAATTTGTATCTATTATCATGTGCATACTGTTTTTAATTAAATTGAACTCATAGAATATTAAAACCAGATTTATCTTATTTCACGATTTAAGTAAACGTTCTATGTCTGCACTAGCTTATGCCGGTAGTGCTTAGTCAAGTATGTGGATAACCCTGTATGAGTTTATTTACATGCTAAGCCGTTGAGTTAGTTACTCACCGACTAAGAGATTATTAATAATTACACTTAAGTAAAAAATTCCGTACAACTAAGCAACTAAAAAGAATACTTTTTTTTATTAATAATATATTTTTATTATACATTGGAGTGCATTGTATTGAATTGAAAATATTAAATATTTGTATGTAACAAAATAATTAAAAAATTGTATGAAAATGAAACTAGGCATAAAAAATTCGTAGCCAATCATTAAAAAAATTAAAAATTATTATTAGTAACTTTTTAATTACAGTTGCTTAACTAACTGTAATATGTGTAAAATATATAAATTAGAATTATTCAATGTCAAGTCATATATATATATATATCTATATTTTGAAAAATGTTTGTATTGTAAAAACTATATGAAGGTTTTTTTATGCTCTCAATACTTTAGTTTATACTTTACTTCAGTAAAGAACTTAATATAAATAAAACAATTATTAATATTGAATACTTATTAATATTAAATATTTAATTATACCAAATACTTTAAATATTTATATATTGGTTAGCTTTTTAAGGATACGGAATTCAAATTGAAATATAATGAATAATCGTATTAATTAAGAAAATAGCATAATTGATTTTTATTCAGAATATAATTTAATTAGCCGTTATTAATATATTTTCGATAATCAATCCCAGAGTACTAACTTTTATACATGTTTAATAATGTTACTCAAACGATATTTGTTTGCAAGATTGATACTGTTTTGATTTAACTGTATACGCCAATAATGGTAAATATATTCATAACAAATGCTCTACCGGTGTTAAATTTGAAAATCTATGTGTCCTAGCTACTACTTTACTTATGGAGGTAATATAGTCATCGAATGTTAGCTTTCATCACTCGTTGATTATTTCTAAAGTATAATATGTAACACAGTCCGTTTATCTATTAGATTGCAAACTAAGCTACAATTGTGGTTGAGTAAACTGTCAATATATCTATTGCAGATAGAATTTATATCGTTCTTCACATAAGGATTATCGAGATTCTTGTAACTGTGACTGTTGGAAATGTGAAACAGAGCACTAATAAGAGTCCACAGATTTCATACATTTATAAGTTACAAAAAAGATAATAAATTATTTAAAAATATAATAATAATTTGTTAAATTATGAGTTTTTTTAATAAATAGTATAGTGTAGGAACTCATGCCTTAATTTTGAATAAGAAGACCTGTTGCTAAACATTGTCAAACGTCCGTAGAACATCAAGAATCTCTGAAGAAATTTAGTTAGCGAAGTTGATTTATTAAAATCAGAAGAATCTACATTTTAATAGCATATGTGCTTTTAGCTTACTGATAAATATATATGGGCTTATTAAATTATTTGTCTCATTAAGTTAAATGTCTCGGAATTTTATTGTTGCTGAACCGTAAAGTAAAACAATTTTACTCACAGTTTATTTGTAGATTTTTTATCATTAAATTTACAATATTATTCATTTTATTTAAGAAGAAGTTACTTATTTTTTGTTGTGTAGGTAAATAAATTAATCTTGGCATTTAAGAGGCTTCAATACAATATGTGTGATAACATGAGCATATTAATTATTTGATTATCATTTTTTATTTTTGCAATTGCACTCATTCATTATCTTCTTTTTTGAATTGAATAAATTAAAATTAGTTTCATATCGAATATAACAATTAGCAAATACAGTTACGCAAATTTTAACAAATACTTATTAAATACTTCAATATTTCCGATTCCTTCTAAGTATATATTAGTTAAGATTTTTTTAACTAAAGTATTAATTACATATAACAAAATAAACACTTAACACAAATAAAGAAATGAAGTACGAGAGGCATTTCCCTTTTTCTTTTAACAAAAATGTCCCCGAAGTTATTATGTCAGAATAAACTAGTGAAGGGATTATTATCGGCATGGTCAAGTAATGTTAGCGACATGGATTATGCAGATAACAATTGACTAATTTCCCACAGTTTCAATTGGATTCAGAATTATATGAATAAAAGTGAGGCGACATGCGAACGTTTGTACTTAATGATATTTTAGATTTTTATATTAATGTCAACAAAACAAAATCGATGCGACTGCATAGCTCAATTTTAAACTAGCTGTTCAGTTATTGCGTATGTGTTAAATTTTCGTTAAATATATAGTATATTAAATAGTATATAAATAGAGAGATATATTAAATGACAGTATTTATAAATCTGGCATTCAAAATAAACTTACAGAAGAAGAGGTAAAAGGGGAAAATGTAAAATTACACGATCGGAAAATTTCTTGAAAAACAAATCCAAAATACGTGGTGTTGTTTGGCTTATGGCTTGCGGTTGTGACGTCTTGAAACATATTTTCCACATTCATAACTTCTGCTACAAGGAAAAAAATTGTGAAACAGAATTGATTAGAATTGATTATTTGCATGAGTTTTTATTATAACATATTAAAAAAATTACAGGGCTATTTAGTCTCGACAAAATGCCTTAGTGCTTAGTGACTTTTTGTGTGTGCAATGACTTTTCAACGATTACTTGGTGCTTCTAACTATCCCAAGTGTGACAATTTCGTTTCTTGCCACATCCACTAAAATAAAATACAGTCTTTCTTCTAAAGAAAATTTAATGTGTAAAACAAATATTACTTTTTTGCACTAAGTTTTGACAATTTTAACGCATTTAGTGTTTATCAAGTGATCATTGATCAAAAAAGACATTACTATCAAATATTAATTAAAATATATGATGCCAGGGTTATATATATTACTGTACTTTCAAATCAGAACTATGGAATGGATAAATCTGTATATATATTGATCGTTACACTAAAACATATGTAGGTTTGAAGAGAAATTATTGCGAAATAGTATCCAGTATGCGAAATAAATGACAATATATTTTTGTATTTAATCAATTAGTTTTATTATAACCTTTTAATATCGAATTATATATGCATGTGATATTACTTGAGATACGGTGATTTACTTTTGCAATAATAACTAACACTATCATTGTATAAAATAATTGCAATGAATTATTGTATGAATTTTAAGAATTTTTCGCAAATAAAAAAATTCTAAAAATAAAGTTCATTTACCGTATCCACACCATATACATTTTGCGCACGAATATAAAACAATTAACTTAATAACAGTTAATAACGATATCTTTAAATCCAAAGATAATTCATACTATATTATAGCAGTGCAGCTCAGACTTTTAAATTTGTTATATTTTAAGTAGATTTTGTGAACGCAGTAACGGGCACCACAAAAGTTTATTGTACGTCTATAGTACTTAAAAAATAATATTGTCTAGAAAATATAAAATTTATAAATATATATATATAAAATAAAAATGTGATATTTCTATAATTTGTTGTACGAGTACATTAAGTAGTGAATATGTATATTGAATCGCAAGCCAATTACCTTCAAAAATATTCGCATACATAACATTAAAGTTAGTTTGTTCACGTATTTTAATTTAAAAAAATTTTCAATTTATAACGCGGTGAGAGATATTTTAGTTCGCATGATATTTACGCTCGTAATCACCAATTATTTTGAAAACTATCTGTTAGCATTTATTGGCAACTGAGTCGACAAAAATTGTAGTGAATACGAAAAAAAAACTGTACTCAAGTACAGTCTGGTGGGCAGCAGTGACTTAAAGTTTGTGAACAAACGTAGCCGTTTTAAATGTTTTAAACAAAAGCAAATTAAAATTGTGACAATCTCTTGAGTACGGAAACTTTTTCCGGATATATTTTACCTTTAAAGCGACCAACTAAATGAATGTCCAGCAGTAGTAAACTTACTTTGTGTCGCTTGTGTAGCTGTGACGCTAGCTAGCATTGCCGCACACTCTTATCCGATTTGATATATATTTTTTCACAAAACAATTCAAACGCTACAGATTAACTTTTATTTTAGTTCAAGCGTCTGCTCTAAACGTTACAATACTAAACAATTACTGCAAACTATTATTTACTCCAAACAAAATTAAATTTTTAAATAAATAAGTGTGCTCAAATTTAGTTCAAATTTATTAAATTCACAAAAAAAAAATTATATAGATGTGTACAAAAATAATTTAAAAATTTAAAATAAATATAAAAAAAAATCTTCTTATACGTTTTATGGTTGTGCATGAATTTTCAATTGCATTGTCTTAAATTTTATATTAAAAATAATAATTAAGTGAACTTGAATTCAACGCTGATAAGCTGAATTCTGCCGGTTTTGAAACGCAAAATCATTTTATTATTTAAAAAATTTGGCGATTTTCGGCAGAAATTTTTTGATATTTTTTGTATAAATATAAGTTACAAACATGATTGTAAATCAAAGACTGAGAAAACCTTTTTTCATCGCGATGGGACTCGGCGCGTTTGTAATTTTGGTTATAATTTGTGTTTATGCCAGCACCAGCGCAGATTCAAAACGGTTTACGGATGAGTGTTTCAAATCAAGTGTGGATACGAACAACTCAACACTGGAATTAGTGCATATTGTAAGAATGAAGAAAATCATTTAAAAAATATACAATAAATTTTTTAAATGCATTAAAAATACGTTTAAAATTTAGTGCACAAATCAAATCAAAATTAAATTATTTAAAGTCAAAAGAAAAATATTCTGGGTTTGAAAATTTATTGTGATATATGAATATAATAATTGAGAATAATTACTAAAATAAAAAAAAACTTGTGCTAAGAATTAATGAACTAAAAAATATGAAATATGAAATTTGATATAATTTTCAATATTCAAAAATATAGAAATATACATATAATGTATTTAATATGTATACTAATATTAATCAATAGATGTTTACTGTGTAAATGCAAAACCAATGTAAATAATCGGCAAGATAAAAAAAAATTAAGTAATTTTTTAACAGAATAGTGGAATAATAGCATTTCTGGAATAGTAATACAATTTAAAATTTTTTTTTGGAAAATAAAAAATAATTAAATGGGGTTTGTTGAGTTGAAATCCTTGTTAGCCTGTAGATTCAATTAGCTATAATAGAATGTTTGTATTAGTGTCAACCTCAATACTTCTGTGTTTAAATTTGGCCGGGCTTTAGGTGCTGTTTTTAAATCTATATTTTTATATAATAACACATATAATATAAAAAACAAACTTAAGATTAAATAAAAAAATATCACAGTTGTTAGCTTATGTAATATATTTTATTAACCTATATTTCGGTAATACAATTGTATTTGTATAATTGTAATAACACTGAAGATAATTAATTAATTAATACATAGTAAATTCATAAATAAATAAATAAAGAAAAACAAAAAATAAATAAAGAACAACTAAATAAAAAAATAAATATATGTGTACATTTATGTATTAAAAAAATAATAAATACATACATAAATAATTAATAAAAAAAAATAACCACTAAATAAAAGGGGTATGAAGAAACCTCACAGTTAATAGAGAGTAAAAGTGCTTAAGTGCACTGACTTAACTAGCCTCAACATAATAATAAATAAGAAAATAAATAAATGCATAAATGTATAAATTGTTAAATAAATAATATTTATATTTATATCGAACTAAAAAAATTTATAACAATTTCTAACAATAAATTATGTACGGGATGTATGTATTTTGTATTTAACAATAATTATTAAACAGACAAAAAAAAGCATATCAATGTAAAAAATCTAAAACAATTAAAATATTATAATGCAAAATATATGATACAAATTACGGTTATTAACTTGAAAAAATTAATAATAATAATTTTAAATATATAAACCAATTATCAAAAATAAACTTAAAACAAAACAAATAAAACTTAAAAATGATAAAAATTGAGTTATTTAATTTATATTAAGCTATAATTTATGTAATATAAACTAAAATCATAATATGATATAATATAATAGATACCTTAATAATGTGATATAAAATTTAAACTAATTACCAAAAATAAGAAACTAACAACAAAATAAACAAAAGTTAAAAATGATACAAATTAAGTTATTTAATTTATATTAAGCTATAAGAATATATTTGATTTAAACAAAATACGTTGGAATTATTTATATAAAGTAATTTTAACACAAGTATTTTAGCATATAAATAAAGATTTCGACAATATAAACCGTATTGGAAAATATTAGTTAAATGTTAAATTTTTCTTAAAAAATAATATTATATAAATATTTTAGTATATTCTATTTTTCAGTGAGAATTATATAGAAACTACGTACGTTGTTAGAATAGGTAGGCGTTAAAATCGTTGTTGCAAATAAAATGGGAATTACAAATAGATAAGCTATAGGAGTACCTGGACTCTAACAAACGATTGCTGCGTATTGAATAAAAAAGATTTAGGTCGAGAACATATTGAAAATACTACATGAATCCTTGTTTACTGACCTTGGACTAAAAATGAAATCGCTTTAACATTTTTTATGGTTAAAGCAATTTAAGTGCTAGAATCACTTCTCTCATATATTTATAGTTAATATTATAATTATATATTATTAAATAATATATTCACGCTGGCAAATCGTCGTGTAGGGATTCATTGCTATATTTCGCAAAAAACTATGGTGCTTTATGAAAAGTGAGCTTCAACGAAGACGGAGTATATTACATCCGTTTTTTGAAATATTAAAGGCGCTGTAATTGTTAAAGAACGCCTCATTTACAAAACATAAGTGTTTTTTCAGCGCATTGGCGTATATTTCAAAAATCATTATGATTAAAACACTTAAGTTTCGCTTCAAAGTGATAAGTCACTAGATCTGGCCACTAGTTAGTATTTATAGTTCCTAAAGTTAAAGTCTTAAAGACGTCGCAATATAGAGTTTAGAATGAATTTTGTCTAAAAATAACCAAAAATAATTTGTAAACATCTCTTTTTATGTTATGCGATAAACTAAGCGCTCTTTAAATTTTACACATGCTAGAAATTTCATATAGTTAAATTAATTATATATGTAAAATTATTAAAAATTGTGATTTTATAATCTGTACAAAAGATCTTTAAGGTTATAAGCTGTGCATGGCACTATATATAATGATAATTTTATAATACATCACATTTTATTATTATTTTTTATTATATTTCATAATAAAAGAAAAAAATTATCTACACAAAGTTATTTTTTAAAAGGAATATATAACTAAAGAAACTGTTTAAGATTGATATTGGTTTTTAATGGGCTTACCAAACAATATTGAAAACTCTCTATTATATTATTAATTTATTAAAAGTATAATATTTGCAGAGCATTTTTTTTTAATTACTTTTTTTATTTAAATTAGATAAATTAATCATATATCTAAAATAAATTGTCTTCTTGAGCTTTTTAATTTACAATTTAAATTAAATAAAAAATACCAATAATAAAATTATCAAGAAAATTAAATGACCAAGTTTAGCTTTCAATATAAAATTAATTTATTAATTCTGTATAATAATATATATTATAATTCAGTATTTTAATAAAAATTTGTTGTAATAATATATACACTACAAATTAATTAAAAATAAATATGCACATTAACTAATATATTTTTTAATCGATCAGTTAAATAATAAATATATTCAGTAACTAGAAATTTTAATAAAATTTCCATTGCACTAATTAATAAATATAAGTTTAAAAGAAGTTTCTGTATTGTATAAAAATTAATTACATTATGATTAAGTTGTAAAAAGAAAAAATATAAAAAAGAACCTAAATGTGTTATAATATTATTGAACAAATTTCTGAAAATTGATTAACTTTCTCATTATATAAATGGTTTTGAATTTTTAGTGTTATAAAATAGCATTATTTTCAAAGAACTAATTAATTTTTTAATTATCGTTGAATTGAATATTTAAATAATGCAAATACAGCTATTAAAATTTAATTTTTTTTAAATATTAAATTAATTCTTTAAGAAAATTTAATTTTAACTTAAAAATAACAAACACCCTTAGCATTCTTAAAGAGATGTTTAAGTTTACATATAAAATAAAGGGAACAATAGTACTCGTATGTGTACTGTGAATACCAGTCAACAAACACAACAATTTAAAATTTAAATTTTAAAATTCATATAAAAACATTTCAGGTATTTCGTCATGGTGCACGTACTCCAGTTGATACCTATCCTAATGATCCTTATGTAAAAGACTCATTCCGACCCACTGGCTGGGGACACGTGACAAATGTGAGTAACGTTTAAGCCATTTTATTTTACTTGCATACTTTTATTTATTTTATTGCAATACTGAAGTCTTTTAAATTTTGCAGAAGGGTAAACGCGAACTCTATGAATTGGGAAAGTGTCTGCAAAAGCGTTATAATAAATTATTGCAACCATTCTACTCACCTGATGTAAGTAGCAAATATCTTTCAATGATTTATAAAAATGTTTGATTTCAGTAAAATATGAGACAAAATTTAAATTCATATTTTAAAAATAAAATCAAATTATTTTACTTATAATATATACTTTTTATTATGTGTATGTTATACATATAATCAATTTATTTTATTTAATTTTTTTCAAACAATACAGCTGGTTTATGCACAAGCAACAGCATCACCGCGAGCATTAATGACTTTATCCACAGTATTATCGAGTATGTTTCCACCACATGGTACACCCATGGAATGGTCACAAAAGCTTAACTGGCAGCCTATACCTATATTTTCCGAACCTCTAGATCAAGACTCAGTAAGTTCATAAATATAAAAAGTAAAGACCCATATATTTGATAAGTTTTTACTAATTTAGTTACTTTTGGTGCGAACATCTTGCCCGCGTTACTTTGAAGCACTTGAAGAGGTATTACAACTACCAGAAGTTAAAGAAGAGTTAGCGCAGTACGAAAGTCTGTTCAGAAATCTATCAATGCTTACAGGTTCAAAAATAAGGACAGCAGAGGATGTAAATTCTTTATATATAACACTTGAAGCAGAGGTATAAATATTAAAATAAAACAAATAATTATGAATACATATAATCTCATAATACTTAATAGCGAGCATTTGGTTTACCACTGCCAAGTTGGACTCAAGATTATTTTCCTCATAGTATGCAATTCTTAGCTGAACAAAGTTATATATATAATGCATATACAACAGAGATGCAAAAAATTAAAGGTGGTCCATTTTTAAAAAAGATGTTTAATGAAATGCAGCAAAAACGGAAAGGAACGTTACAACCAAACAATCGCAAATTATTTATATATACTGGACATGATTGGACTGTGGGAAATATTTTAAGTGCACTTAAAGTATGGGAACGACAGATGCCACGCTTCGCAGTTATGGCCGTTTTCGAATTACATAAAAGTAAAACTAACGGCGAATATTATGTAGAGGTTTGTACTTCTAAACAAAAAATAGAAATTTTTTTTATAACTGAAAAAATATTTGTTCGATAGATATTTTTACGCAACAATGAATTAGGCTATCTTAAGCAATTGAAAGTACCGAATTGTGATTTAAAATGTCCTTTGGATAAACTAATTGAGTTGAGTAGTGCAGTATTACCGAATGAGCCATATGAAGAGAGATGTAAAGCAAAAAATACTAATTTTGCGGAACCACCGCCAAGACCAATTGATCAATAGATACATTTTAACTGACAAACACAAAAGAAAGTGTAAATATCTCAGTATTATGTGCAGGTATTGATCATAAGTTTTAAGTTTATTGTAGATTTGTTTTTTAAGTTATGTAATTCTAAATTAAGAAATTTAATTACGTTGTTAAATATATAAATATACATATATAATTAAATAAAATATTTTGTTAAAAAGAAAAACTAAAAAGAATATATTTATCAGTGCGGATATTAAAATTGATTTCAATTTTTGAAAGTAGTCAATTAAATTGTAATTAATTCTAATTATATTTTTTTTTTGCCCTTTAATTTTATTACTGTTGCTAATTTCTGTTTCCTGTAAGATAATTACATTTTTGAATATCTAATTTCATTATTGAATAAAATTTTAAACGAGACGTATGAATTATGAAAGTATCCATGCCGTTGAATTTAACTGTCAATTTACCGGCTCGGCGACCTTCAAAGCATTTTGACATGAAGTAATTAGCTAATTATATTTTTTTTCAAGAGTTATGTAAATTTTTAGTTATAAAAGGAAAGCTGTCTAATTAACATTACAAGATTTCACAATATTTAAATATGCTAATATAAACAACTTCATTTTATTTTTTGGCATTGAACTTTGCGACATATGTATATATATGTGTATATATATGTGTTTAATTTAAATTCTTGCCGGAATTGTTAAATTTCCTAAAATATTAGAATAAATAAAATTTAGTTATGAGTAGCATTTCATATTTAGTCACATATATTACCATAGTTTATGTTAGGTCGATTTTAAGTTACGTTAGTGTAAATATCCAAAAACCCAATATTGGGAAAGAATAACAGGTGTTTTGCAATCGGAATAGCTTCTAGAGCTTTACAACCTAACATGATTTAAAAATTGTAAGCAAAACCAACTTTAGACACTTACATTATATGAGTTTTGACAGGGCATTGTAGGTGGAATTATCACTTTATAAAATTGAAAACTTACTCTAGTGGAACTTTTACGTTTTGTAGCAAAGATTATAAGATTTCAATACAAGTGCTGAGAGTCTGCCTGGTACGGATGTATAAGCGAAAGAAATACCTAAATAGGCATCTTACAATATATCAGATGAACAATGAAGACATAATAAAGTACCTACTTTATCAATACTATACTTCTTTGAAGAAATCGCACTTGTGGAAACACTTTCAGTCCATGAATGAGGCATAATATATTCTAGCTTGCAGTGATAAATTTTCCAATATGTTAAAAATAATTCGAAAAATGTTAATTATTCTAATAAAAACAACAAAAACAAAAATATTTTAAATAATATATATTAGATTTAGTCGGTTATATGTATATATATAGTACGTATATATACATTTATTATTAGTATTTAACACCAAAAAGTTTAAGTACGTTAAAAGCAAACTAGCAATGGACTATATTATAGTTATAATAATTATAATATTATATCTATGTAATTTTCAGATTGTAAGTACCAATGATTGGTACTTGCCATATTAGAATCGCAGTCTCATTTTCTAAATATCTGAATTAATGCCGTACTGTTATTGAAATGCAAATGAGTTGTCAAAAAATTTTTTTTTTTCATTTTGTGTTAGTGCATGTGTAATCAAAAAGTTCGGTCATTTAAATAGTTTGTTGTTGTAATTGATACTAATAATACTATAAAATGAATTTAATTATAAGTAAACATAAATTATGACAAATGTAGAAACTCAGTCTTGTGTTCACTTATTACATTTCTGAGTTTTATTCTCGTATATAGTTCTCAGATTTCTGGTTATAAAAGGAGTATTAATATTGTATATTTTTCAAATTCTTGAATAAATTAAATTTTTGATTTATAAAGTAAAAATATCCACTAATATTAATTAAATTCATATGTTTTTGTGAGTTAAAAATACTTCAAATAATCAAATAATTCACAATCTAACTTCTGCAGTATTTTTTGAAAATTAATATATTGTATAAAATTCTTACAATACAATTTTACAATTTGTGTAAAAAAAAGCAGATTACTTTATCATTCAGTCGTTTGCAATTAGAATTGATACGAAATTTTGCTCACATAGATTTGTTTGCTTTTATTTTTTATATATGTATAAATATTATTATTTCGTATTATTGTTTTTTTCAGAATATATATTCTGTAAAACCGAATATTGTTTAATTTATTAGAAACAACAGTCTCTATAAAAATGAAATACATGTATTTTTTATGTAATAACAAATGTAATATTACATTTAGGTAATATTAATTAATATTAATAATTTTGTATTATTAAATATAAAATTAGTTTTTAACATTTTTGTTAAACGATTTTTTAACAACGACAAAAGAAAATAAACATAAGAAATGCAAGTACTGGGATCAAGAATTAAAATACAAAATAACAGTGAAAGTAATAAACTTGGGCAGACAAAAAAAAAATTGTATTAGCAAAATATAAAAATTAATGAGAGAAATTGTAGAACAAATAGCGTAAATATTTATATAGGAGATTATTCAAAATGGTGAATGTTTTAATTGCGACAACACTATTTTAAATAAGAACAGGGACATATATTAGCTAGAGTGGAAGTTTTGCTAGGGACACCACTGTCGAAAGACAGCTAGGAACCAATGACAGTTACTATTAGCAATTAAAAAAATTTATTCCATGGAGTACATTAATACAAATATCAGAATGTTCAAATTAATAAACAAATATTGAATCAAGAAATTTGAAAACAGAAGTCGTACGTCTTTCTCTGCATCACCACATAGTAACTTAAGTTATTGTATACGACTTGGTACATGCGTTTAGACTACCTCTGCAAAAATAACGACTTAGATCAATGCTTTACTTGTTCTAAACTGTTATAAATTAAGCATCATTATTTAAAACAATTAAGCTCAATAGTATAAACTGAACACATATTCAAACTTAAAACAGTCAGCTTGAGCCTCAAATAAATTTAGTATATGTTTTTATTCAATACTCAAATAAATATTAAACTATATAAGTTTATTATATAGTTTATAATATGCATTTAATTTGGTAAATGTCATCACGGTCATTGTCGCTGTTCTCTGGAATGTAACGCACAGCCTCCACGCAACCGCTCTAGACAACAACAATATCCGCGTGCAGTGAACTAATGTGCGCAGCGGAACCTTTTTTATTGATACACGAGGTTATATTTCGGGCTTTGATGCCTCGGATAAGAACACCACATACTGTTGATGAGACAAGCAAATGTTAAAAGAATATGACTCAAAAATATATACCCGGAATGTCCGAACTCTTTTCAAACAAAATTCATCTATACAGACGGTTAAAGTTTTAAATAAATACAAGGTTTATAACATATTACATGTCTTTAGAAAACACGATGGACGACTCGAATATGCTATAAAAACCTACATTGTAAAATTTACTATAGCTGTCATGCAACAAAGCACGAATCGGATTTGCGATGAGTTGAAGGATGTTTCGCATAATCGTAGGCAAACAAACAACTGATAAGATTAGGAGTGTTACGACGCTACCTCAGAGAAAGACGCAGCATGTCAAAGCGCGGAGCTATCGGCAAAAGAGAAAGGATGAAAATTGTCTTTTCAGGGGAAAAAATAACGACGTAGAAAAACATAGCTGGTAGTGCCGTCATATTATTTCCATTTTTTTAAAACCGAAGTTTTTTCATTATCGGTTTCAATGAAGTTCCGAATTGAAAATAAGCTGCTATGACACATTTTGATAATATCGCAGCTGAATTTATTCGACTGGTCGTGAGTCGAGATTGTGACGATTGTTTTGAGCTTACTATAACAAACGCAGGAAATGATTCTTGTTCTAAATGAGAAAACCACGAATTACTTTCTATGAACAACCAACTATAAGTTTGAAGTTGTGAAAGACTTTATATATTTCGAAACTATCAGTCTAAAAATTCAATGAGGAATTTTGATAACAGATGTTACTTCCTGTTAACAAACTTCACCTATACCTGTCCTGCTATATGGTGCAGAAGATTGGATAATATTCGAGATATTAATTCCTCGAAAGATTTATGGTTCTTTATGCGTTGGAAACGAATTCCGAATTAGATCAAACGATGAATTATACCGTAAAATTGCATAGTTGAGAGCACAGAATTTTAGCATCGTCCTATAAATGGTAAAAAAAGTTCCAGCTAGTAAGTCAGCTTGAGACTCAAATAAGTTATATATTTAATATTATTCAATTGAAATAAATATTTAGTTATATAATAAGCTAATTAAATAATGTGAAATTCCATGAGAATTGTTGAACAAATGCTTCGTGAGCTATTTTATATATCAATTTGGAAACCTTTATTACATTGTTTATGAATTTATTCTTATATTTATAATCAGTGTATAATCAGTGTACACATTTTTAGTAGACTTTTTAGTGTTGTTTTACGTTTTTTAGATGGGTTTAATATCGTTCTTTATTATTTAAAAAATTAAAGCTATAAAAGTTATTTTTTTTTATTATTGGAAACAATACGTTAAATAATATAAATACATGTTTCATTTGACTACGACTAGTTCAAGTACAGAGAACTATCAAGCAGTTTTGTTTAATTTCACAATACGTTTTACAACCGCCAAGTTGTCAAAGACTTACTGCTAACTACTAATTTGGGAGTAGATCTGAAGGATTAATTTATTTAAGTCTCCTAAGCACGTCAGATGTATTAGACAGATGGTGGGCTGTCTCGTTTAGGTGCTTTTGTAACCGTTTTTCGTGCTTTATCGCAAACCTTTGAATTACTACATCCACAGATTCGATCTTCAAGTCCCGATGGAAGTCAGTATTCCTAATGAACCACGGAGTGTTGACTAAATTTCTTAAAAGTTTGTTTTGGAAATTTTGGATGATTTGAATAGACGGTTTTGGTGCACATCCACATAATTGGATTCCATACGTCCACACCAGAGCTAAGACTTGCTTGTATATCATTAATTAGTTGCTTAGAGATACGGGTGATTTTTTCGTAAGGAGACAATATAATTTTCTGTATTTTTATTCCAGTTCAACTCGTTTTTTCTTTATATATTCTTTCCATTTCGACTTTGCATCAAATTCATGCCAAGGTATTTAACTG